GAAAAGAACAAAACTTAATCTTCAATGACTTTAACAAACAATTAAAACCCAAATTATGCCCTGTGAAACAAGACTAAGAGATATTGTCAATTCTGGATGAGATAGTAGGCTGAGTAAAAAGCAAGCTGAGAAAGAAAATCTATTTGAGTAATACATGGTTTCCCTAAGAATAAGTCTCACATTTCTCGAAGGCTTATATTCAAATCATTTAATTTGGGCAATAGGATTATAAATTACAAGTAATTATAAATTGGGACACCATATTAGATTAAAATAAACCAGAACAAAGTGCTTAAAAAAGGATGACAATAAAAGAGGGAAGATAGATTGCAGACTTCTCATCAGCAGTATAAAAAGCAAAATAAAATAGGGTAATTTCTTCAAAGTGCTAAGTGAAAGTAACTGCCAACCAAGTGATCTGTATGCAAATATAATTCACTAATGATTCCAAACTAAAGAAATTTTCAAACAAAGGAAGGACTAGGAGTTTACACATCAGGTCATAATTTGACAGAAATCATATCAAATATACATTAATGAGATGAAATACTAATATATAACAGAAAGTGTGATGTCATTAGAAATTGTGAGGAAAAAATAGTGGAATATATTTTAAATGTAAATACATAAGGATTTCAAAAAGATGACTACAATTTGTTTAAACAAGTGGAACATTTTTATGTTTATAAAATATTTTATTTTTATTATATATTTATTTGATAAAGAGAAATATTCTGATAATTGAAAGAAGCTTAAAGCCTTTTATGTGTCCATGAATTGTTTACTTAAATTGGCCAATCATTCTGCCCACAAATATTCTTCACAACTTCAAATACTAAAGCCCTATAGATCACTTTTTATAACCACAAACAAATAACATTAAAAGTGGATAAAAAGTTATCCACTTCCCTACCCTTCATTTTGGGTAGGGAACTAATTTACTTCCAAATAACCTAGTGATGTAATGTTTTAAAAACTAAGTACTATATTATAATTATAAGGATACAAGGTAAAACCTAAGAGATGCAACCTAACCAAAATTTAGAGTGGTGTGGCATTCGTAGTCTTAAACGTATCTATTTGGGGAAAAATATGTATGGATATATGCCTATATTCTAAAAAGCTAGGGAGAAAAGTAAATTCAGATATTAAAAGAAAATGGAAATAATAAAAGTAAAAGCAGAAGAAAATGAAATAGAACTTGTATTTCCAACTAATCCAAGCAATGAAACTAATGTTTTAAAAATATTGATAAGCAGAGCTGTCCCAACAAGTTGACTCTAATCAAGAATGGTGTGCATACACAAACATTTCCATAAAGAGTAGATTTTAACTGAAATACAGGGAATAATAATATGATTTCAATTTTTAAATAAATAAATTAGAAGCAGAGAAAAGGAAAATACTATGAAGCACTGATATCAAAATAAGAAAGAAGACTTAAGTTTTGAGAAGAGCTGGTGGGTAGTAATCTGGAAATTAGGTGAAAGCATTATTAGATGACAAATATTTGTCACACACATTGCTCATGCTTGAGAAAGATAATAAAATTTATAATTTTACACATCAGAAATATATACATTCAGGAAGTTATTTGGTCAAAATCAAGACTGGAACTTGTTTCCAGGTTTTTATATCAGTGCTGTTTTAACTAGTCGTTGTCTACACTAGGCAGAAATTTCTAAAGAGAATGTCCAATTCTAAAAGGAAAATAAATTAGACAACTGAGATCATTATCTGTAATGTTCTTTTACCTAAAATATAAAAACAATAATATTGTGTGGCCTTTGAACTACTAACTCACTTAGCTGGGACTTTGTTGATGAAGTTTTTATTATTATTTGCACATCTGAGATTACAGACACCCCCAGCTTCCCTGTTTCCCGGCATTGAGACATCTAAGAGGCTGATAGCAGGTAGCTGCTGAGTCCCTAGGTTGGCAGCACAGGCCCTGATGCTCATTCAAAAGAGTCTTGATGATACTCAATAAGTATTCATTTTTGTGACTATGCATTTAAATAAAATATTTAAACCACCAAACAGAAATTCATAAACAACGAAAATGATTTAGTTTACAAAATGTTCACAAAATACCTAAACAAATAGGTAATAAGACATCTAAGTAGAAAAACTTCTAAATAATAAATAATATTGAAAACTGACCAACCTATCAAATTTGTCTGATATCCTGTTTTCATGTGCTCCTTACAGACTTTCTTCAAGCCCATGAGCCAAACTTTGCTGATCTAAAATGTATAATATCAGGCTAATTTTATCTTGTTTTGCAGTTAAGTACTGAAATAAGACCAATTGCAAAAGACTGGTCTTGTTAATGGCTGACTGGTATAATGATGCAACTGGAATTAGGTAATTTAAGTTCACAGTTTTCTTAAACCAGTAAATAAGCAGGATAAATCATATAAAACATAAAATATGCATCAGTGCACCCCAGTCCCAGATACGTATTTAGATTTACACAGAAACAGCTTTTATTTAAATTTGCAATATAAATGCTATTCTGCATTTCTGGCCTGGGAAAACTAAAGAAAAATCCAATATAAAATTCCTGTTTTAGATAATATGCATGCTTTGGCTTACATATACTGACCTCAGGTTCTATTCAAATAATTTATTAAATATCTGCTGTATATAGTTATTATATTTTTTAATCTAGCTAAACCAGGAAAGAGTAGATACACATTCTTTCATCTTGATTTTTAAATGAAAATAGTATAGTGAGGAGAAACACATGTCACCCTTTCAATGTGAAAACTTTGAAGGAAAGTGCCAGTATACAGTAGCCACCACTGTGGAAAAACACGAGATGAAGGAGACCACCGTAAGGGGCATGAGCCCAGGTCAGGAGGTTCAGAAAATGTATGGGAATCCAAGTTAACCATTTAAAGGTTTTCTTAAAAATAAGCAAGCAACCAAAAAAGAAGTCCATTCCTAGTCCAACAGAGACATTCCAGTTAGGTTCATCACCGGCCATTTTCATGTTTACAAGAAAATGCAAATTATGGAAATCCTTTATTGAGATCTAGGGTTTAGTTATTAGGGGAAGTCTCAATTGGTGCTATCATAGTTATTTCTGATTGTTGTCACTTTTATTTTTAGTTCTAAATGTTTGAATTAAATGTGCATAACTTTTTGAATAATATGAGTTAGTGAGAAAAAAAATTTAAAGCAATTCATTTGTGAATTATACAAGAGAATTGACTGGGATAATGAATAGGAGATACAAGAGAACATCTGAAAAATTTTAAACTAATGTTATAACAAAAAATGCTCTTTAAACTGTAAGCTATACTGACACAAAAAACATTTGTTATTGTAACATTTATATATATATATAGAGAGAGAGAAAGAAAGTGATAGACATAGTGTATGTGTGTTATTAAATGTTCCATTATCCTGAAACACTATCCTGTTGAGCTGTTTTTTCTTAGCTTTTATTAATCATATAATTTAATTTCAATATTTTATAGAAAAAGAGGAACTCTGCCCACCACCACCTCAGATACCTAATGCTCAGAATATGACAACCACAGTGAATTATCAGGATGGAGAAAAAGTAGCTGTTCTCTGTAAAGAAAACTATCTACTTCCAGAAGCAAAAGAAATTCTATGTAAAAATGGACAATGGCAATCATTACCACGCTGTGTTGGTTAGTAGTTTATTTCTAAGTAATTTCACTTAAGAAGAGGTTACTAGCCACCTATGCTTTATCTAAAGAGAAGGAAAAAGAACTTAGGACTAACCTATTTCACTGTACCCTGAAGCATGAAATTGCTAAGTACCCAATTCTGTCATTAAAAAAAGGAAAGTTTCTCTAAGAGTTATCTCCAACAGGGTAGATAGAAGAAACAAGTTTGAAATTTCTACATCTTTTAAAAAATGTTTTCTATCTTATTTTTACTGTACCTTTTCTATGTTTAAATATGTTTAGATATGCAAATACTTACCATCATGTCCCCAAGGCCTATAGCATTTAGCACAGTAGCATGCTGTACAGGTTTGTGGCCTAGGACAGTGATACTCAACCTTTTTGGCACCAGAGGCCTGTTTTGTTGAGGACAGTTTTTCCATGGACTAAGGAGGATTTGGAAATGGTTTCAGGATGAAACTGCTCCACCTCAGATCATCAGGCATTAGATTCTCATAAGGAGCAAGCAACCTAAATCCCTTGGATGTGCAGTTCACAGTAGGGTTAAAGATCCTATGAGAATCTAATGCCCCGGCTGATCTGACAGGAGGTGGCATTCAGACAGTAATGTTCGTTTGCCTGCCGCTCACTTTCTGCTGTGCAGTCCAGTTCCTAACAGACCACAGAGGGTACCAGCCTGCAGCCAGGGGTTTGCGGTCAATAGGAGCAATAGGCTGCACCATATAGCCTACTACTGGGCATGTAGCAGCAACATTACCTAGGTTTGTGTAGGCTCAGTCCATGATGCTCACACAAGGAAAAAAGAGCCTAATGACACATTTCTAAAAATATATTCTTCTCATTAAGTGCTGCATGACTGTATTTCAAAAGCAATTTCAAAATATTATTTGACAATACATCAGATATGTCAAAGAGTGCTTAGAGCTGGACAAGATGCCTGATAATTGAACAATCTATTTAGCTAAATAAAAACCATTGGTAATTTTGCCTAGAGATATTTCCAAAGGAGGTAAGTAATTGCACATTCAAGAAAGAATGTGGAGTGATAAAGTAAAATCATGGAGGATGGGAAACAAGTAAACGTGTTTGAAAGGGAATAAAGAAATGAGGTAGGTGCTGGATAGAAGATATAGATACAGTGACATTTACCTTATGGAACTGTGACATTTTCAGCATGTTTCTAGATTGGTGAATGATTAAGTGGAAATGGGGAAATTGATGTTACAGAAGAAAGGGGAGAATTCATGGAGAATGGTCTTTTACTAGTTTAAAGGTGAAAGAATCTAGTGTCCTCATGAAGAAGTCAATCTGAGAAAGCAGGGTCAGTAACTCAATGAAACAAGTCATTTGGGATAAGATTACTTATTTAGTGATTTTGTATTTATGTTCTTGGTGATATGTAAAGGGAGATCAGTCAGTACAATGGAGTGTATTACAGCCAATCTTAACATGAAGTTGAAACATTTATTGATAGGGAAAGATGCCTTTGGTATCAAAAAGTAAATGCAAAACAGTATGTCTGCAATTCATTTTCAGTAAAACTACAAGTTTATGATCATATAGTAGTTGGTATATACTATCTACATAAAGTAACAAATACCCTGAGACTAGAAATTGTAAGAAGGCTATTTACTTTTACCTTTCCTCTTTAAATAACAATTGAATATTAAGGGGCGGAGGAGGAACCTGGACCTGAAGTTTACTCACCTGTCTCTCCTGCCCTAAATAAAAAGTATTCCCAGTATTTTATGTGAGCTTCACTTTAACATGAAAGGAGCTATATGTTTTGAATTAGACTTTACGACAGAAATACTGCAATTATTTGAATTTTCAGACACCTTGTGTTAAAGATATAATATATGATGCTTTATTATTTTATTTTGTTTAAACTAAGATATTGACTGTTTCTCAACAAATAAATGCTATTTTCCAGCGTCTACAGCATACTGTGGGCCCCCTCCACCTATTAGATATGGAGATATCACCTCATTCCCATTATCAGTATATCCTCCAGGGTCAACAGTGACGTACCGTTGCAAGTCCTTCTATGAACTCCAGGGCTCCATAACTGCAACATGCAGAAATAAACAGTGGTCAGAACCACCAAAATGCCTAGGTGAGTTCATAACACTCTCTTGGAATCTGAGATTTAATATTTGTCATATAATTTTAATGGACTAATTTCATAGAATAATCTTTACTTAAGTTTCATTTAGATGAAATCTTTCCTGCCAAATGTAAATACATACAAAGAAATGTCTGAAAAATCTGCGTTAAGAAAGTGAGAAAAATTTCTTTAAAAACTATAAAGAAATGGTCTCAGTGGATGATAAAAAACAACAAAACAACAAAAACAAAATGAAATAAATAAAATTCTAAGAGACCTACATGTGGTACGGTACACTATGAAACTCTGTAAATAGAGTCCCAAGCTATTTATGGGGCCTATTCTCATAACATCAAATATCTTCATGTTAGAAGTGTCTACCTGAGAATTTCTCAGAGACCATTTGAAAAACATTGGTCTAGGAAATCTGTCATTTAATAGTGTAAAAGGATCCACTTATAAACCTGAAAGCTTTCCCTAATAGAAGTCCTAGTTGAATATTACTGACATGGCTTTTTACTTCCATGTTGCCAGAATTTCTAGCCAGGGAGATTGAAAATCTGGAAGAGTTATTGAGCCAGTTTCCAAATCTTCACTACCCCTTCTTTTTACCCTATCTTCTTCTGCTACACAATAATGCCAATATACATATTCAGTTTCCACAAATTCACGTCTACTTTGTGGCATTAAAAAAATGAATATAGTAGACTCCTTATGAAAATTTGGAGATTCACATTTAGGTTTTAAAAGGAGATTCTTTTACTGATCATGACAAACTAAAAGAGACAAAATACAAAGAATATGAGCTAATTAATAACACCAATTATGGAAAAAGCATGAACGTCAGTTTATTCTAGACTAAGTGGATGAAAACTGGAATTTCCATAAAGCTCTCCTGTTTTCTAGTATCCAAAAGAGACACCATGATAATAAGGATCTGTTCCTGCAACAGTTCTCATTATTGCCCAATGCCTCAATTCACTGGGGTAGACCAGAAGCTCCTTATAGTCTTGAGACTTCATCCTTCTGATGATGTCTCTTTCTTCTACCTTTGTAGTAACAAAATACCCTGATGCCACTATGGCCTATACGGTGCTTCAAACCACTACTCACTCTATGTGAGTCCCCTCTCCTAGGATATCATTATAATTGCACGGGAACTGAACTCAGAAGGTGCTGAGTTAGTATAAGGCAAAAGTATCATCCAAAGAATTTTGCTACAATGAAGAAAAACTAGGTTTCAAAGGAAACTTCTAGGATTTAAGTTGGAGTGATTGATGGGTAGACAAAAATGCCATTATCTAATATTCTAAGTACAGCAAAGTTTTAGATGGTCTAATAATTTAAAATAGGCAGAAATTATCACGGGCAGTGATCATAAAATAAATTTCCAAAAAGAACAAAATTGTAGTGTAAAAAGTGTGTGCCATGTTGACAGGGTTTACAGGAAGGGCATTCTAGCAGAAAGGAACAATATTTTGAACAATAAGAAACACAAACACACAATGACAAAAACTACAAAAACAAGCAAAACAAAAAAACATCATAGGTATCTAGACAATTCAAGGAAAGATGATCTAACTATGAAATGGAAAATAATTTTATTTCCCATGTGATTAGACAGCTCTGAAGAAGGAATACCAGAAATATATTTCTTTGGACGGTTTAAGGTATTGAATGAAGTAGGGAGCCATTACATATTTTTAATGGCAGTTTTTTGATGTAGTCTGTCTTTATTTTTTCTTTCTCGAGCCTGAGCCTTGCTCTGTCACCCAGGCTGGAGTGCAGTGGCATGATCTCAGCTCACTGCAACCTCCACCTCCTGGAAATTCTCCTACCTCAGCCTCCTGAGTAGCTGGGATTATAGGCACGCACCACCACGGCCAGCTAATTTTTGTATTCTTAGTAAAGATGAAGTTTCACCATGTTGGCCAGGCTGGTCTCGAACTTTTGGCCTGGTGATCCACCCGCCTTGGCTTCCCAAAGTGCTGGGAATACAGGTGTGAGCCACTGTGCCCAGCCTGATGTAGTATCTCAGAATAATCAGTTGAGTAAGAACATGTGGTTATTTTAAACTGAGAAAACATGCAATATGTGGAGATTTTTTATAGCCCTGCCAGAGATAGATTAGGATTTTGACTAGTAAGTAAAAAAACAGGAACCAAATGAAAGAGGAGTTAAGGATAACTTCACAATTTCTGGATTTATGGAGAATATTCTCAGGTGCTTAACACATAAGAATTTTTACAAATTAATCAAAAATCAGTATAAAAATTCTGTAAAGTATGTAAACTGAAAATAAAAAACATATGACAAACATGAAAAAATGCTTGTCTACACCAACATAAAATTTCAATGAAGTGGCAATGTTTGATTAGGAAATTGGCAAAAAGAAAAAAATACATAACATAAAGGCTTGGCAAGAATATGGGGTGTTAAACACTCTAATATACATACAAGTATATAATTACGCATACATGTATAAATACATATTACATATCATGTATTACACATGTAACATATCTGTATGTGAATATGTGTGTATCATACCTATATGTGAATATAAGTGTGTAACATACATGTATACATACATAATATGTGTATACTATATGTATTCATATGTATGCATAATGCACATAATATGTGTATACATATATGTTACGTATATTGTATGTCATACATAATATATAAATACATATTTATATGTTAGATATGCATTGTATGTAACATTATAGTTATACAATTAACATACATATAATTGTATGTAATATATGTATGCATATATACAAATGTATGCATATATACAAATAATATATATGTATATATATGTTACATATATGTATATAGGTATATAGTATATACATATACTATATATTATAGATTACATATATACTCTTACATATAATATATGTTACATATGTTACATATATTTAGTGTATGTATGAATATATATCATATGATTATGATTATATGATTATATATCACATAAACATATTTTAAATATATGTTTAAATTATAAAATATGATATATAATTGTATAATATAAATATATACCTAATATATGTATAAATTGTCTATAATATTGTATATTTTATATAAATTATTAACTGGCCAAACTCTTTGAAGCATAGTTTGGGACTAAGCCTCAAATATTAAAAACATAGATCCTTTAATCTAATGATTTTATTTCTGGAAAATTATTCTATATATGCATTCTTGCAAGGAAGAATACATGTACAAGGTTATTCATCTTCTCATTGTAATAGTAAACCATAGAGACTGCCTAAATTTCTATCAATAACCTTGTGAGTTGAGTATTAACAACTTATGTCTACAGATGAAGAAACGGAGGCACGAAAGACAGTATTTTGTTCAAATCGCAAGGTCGGTATTTGGTTGAGCTAGGATTCAGACACAGGCAATCTGGTTCCAATTCCACGTACCTAAGTCCTATGCTATGTGGTCACTCATGTGTACCAAAAAGTCAAGAAGAAAATAGATCGCTCTCACCTGGAAAGGCAGGGACTGGTCTTTCATGTGTTATCTGGGAAATAGGTGGTAACATATCCAAAGATCTCCTAAGTATGGAAGAATCTTAAGTACAAAAAGTTTTTATGGTTGCCACTTCCTAGAATGGCTTCTCAAATTAAGCCCTTGGCTTATTTCTGAATCTTTTGAACAATTTCTGTATTAGAGATTATGGTCTTAAGAGAACATGCTATTTCGTAACATCAGAATATGTTATTTATTTACCCAAGAAATATTGTCTCTCAATTAAAAAATGCTGATTTTAAGAAAGAATGAGTGACATCTGTGGTTAGGGAAGAAAACACTGGTTTTCTACAGAAATCAAGGTTTTACAAAAGTTAAGATTCACAAATAATTACATTATAAAAAGGGATGTCTCAACAACAACATTCATGCTGGTAGAATTTTTAGTAAAGTATAGCAATTAAGACCTCAGGCTCTGAAGTCACACTGGTAGAATCCATATTCTGGCTCAAAGCACTTACTAAACTGTGTGACCTTGGGAAAATTTCTCTGTGAATTCATTTCCTCATATGTGGCCCATACACAGTGCTAAGAACAGTACCCATAATAACTCAATAAATATTATTTTTCAATAAATATTAATATATTTTCATCATTTTATTTAATTCCAAAATATTCTTAAATATAATTTCACTATTCTATGAAAGTAAATATATTTATTTATTTTATTTTACCATTTCTTCTTTTAGAACCATGTGTGATATCTGGAGAAACTATGAACAAAAATAACATACAGTTAAAATGGATCAGCAGTGAAAAACTTTATATAAAAACAGGGGATGCTGTTGAATTTGAATGTAAATTCTCATATCAAGCGAAGAAATCATCACCATCATTTCGAGCAATCTGTCAAGAAGGGAAATTTGAATATCCCATATGTACGAAGTTAGCATATTTTTCCTGAATATAGTCAGTAAAGTAATCATACATCTATGCTAAAAGTAGCCATTATGTAGCCAATTCTGTAGTTACTGCTTTTATTCTTTCAGGTGTGGTTTAACTCAGTTTTATTTAGAACTCTGGATTTCTAGAGTTTCAGAAATTTATAAGCTGAGAGAATAATGTTTCACTTAATAGGAGGGTATCTGAGTCCATTTTACATTGTTAGAATAGAATATCACAGACTGGGCACGTTCTAACCAATAGTTTGTTTCATAAATCTAAAAGTCCAAGATTGAGGGGCTGCATCTGGCAAGGGTCTTCTCAAAGCATCATAACATGGTGGAAGGCATCACATGGTAAAAGAACATGAGTGAGAGAAAGAAAGAGAGAGAGGGAGGGGGGCAAACTGATCCGTTATAGACACCGCGCCTCAGATAACAATCCAATCCCATGATAACAGCATGAATCCATTCAAGAAGGCAGAGCTCTCATGACTTAATCACCTCCTAAAAGTCTCAGCTCACAACGCTGTTGCATTGGGAGTTGTTTCCACCACATAAATTTTTGGGGACACATTCAAACCACAGGAGATAGCCATATTATTCCTGGGCAAATCACAATAGGAGAAATTTTATTCATATTCACAGAAACGGTAAGTGTTCTCACTTCAGTACTTAATTCATCTAATCCCTTCTGTTTGTCTCAAATTTATAAGATAACCTTGAAGCTTTCTGAATTAACTTTATTTGGGCGGAAATGCAGATGTTATTTTCATCTCTATCTTCATGTTATTATCACTTAAAAACCTGCAAAACCTGTCAACTTTTGTGGTTGTAAATTCATAAATATTTATAAATCCTCTAATGTAAGTCTAGCTACCTATCAAATACTGAATACCCCTTCAGGTATTAAATGTACCATCTTCTATAAAAGAGTAGAGGACTTTGAAGTTTTAACCAGTCCTTCTGTGGAGCTTCTAATCTAGACAGGGGTAATATAGACATATAAAAGAGTGAAAATTATTAGGTTACAAAATTGCATATATATAATTATCTAGATGTATATAAATGGTTTTAGAAGAAAGAGAGAAATACAAATGAAGGCTTTAAAAATGTATGTGATTTTGATTTAAAAAAATTAAAATAGGCTGGGCACAGTGGCTCACTCCTGTAATCCAGAACTTTGGAAGGCCAATGAAGGTGGATTGTTTGAGGCCAGGAGTTTAAGACCAGCCTGTCCAACATGGCAAGACCTTGTCTCTACTAAAATACAAAAATACAGCCAGACTTGGTAGTGCACAGCTATGATTCCAGCTACTTGGGAGGCTGAGGCTGGAGTATCTCTTGGACTTGGGAGAAGATTGCAGTGAGGCAAGGTCATGCCACTGCACTCCATCCTGGGTGACAGAGCAAGACTCTGTCTCAGAGGAAGGAAAAAAAGGAGAGAAAGAAGAGAGAAAGAGAGAAAGACAGGAAGCAAGGGAGGAAGGGAGGAAGGGAAGGAGGGAGAGAGGTAGGAAAAGAGGGAAAGAAAGAAGGAAGGAAAGAGGGAAGGAGGAAAGGAGGGAAAGAAAGAAGGAGGGAAAGAGGGAAGAGAGGGGGGAGGGAGGAAAAGAGAAAACAAAGAAAAAGAAAGAGGAAGAGAAGAAAGAAGGAAAGAGAAAGAAAAGAAGGAAAGAAAGAGAAATATAAATAGAATATTTTCAAAATCTTCATATTTTCCCACATTTTACCTTATTCCTTTTGAATGTATATTACTTTTATATTCAGAAGAGAGTGATCAAAACTGTCACTAAAGAACAAGGCAATAGAAGATGAGTATAAAGACCATGTTGGTCATGATGTTAATTTCATGCAACAACTCAATTATTTTTTGATGTACCATAGTTTGTGAAAATACTACACAGGAAGTATTAGAAATATACTTTAGAAATTTCTGTATTTCACACAGCATTTCTTAGTTAAAATATTGTTTTGGTCAGAAGGTTTTTTTAAGTATCCTGAGGGACAGAGTTTTCAGTGAACCAAGATTGTGCCACGCACTTCAGCCTGGGTGGCACAAGGAGATTCTGTCTCAAAAAAAAAAAAAGTTTCTTAAAGTATCCATTTAAAATATGACTACTAATACAGGTAAAAATTAAGACTTGACATATTCACCATCACAGATTTGACAATGGATTCTTAGATATCACACCAAAACTACAAATAAGAAAATACAAAGTACAGAAATTGGATTTTCTCAAAATTTAAAATTTCATGCTTCAAAGGAGACTATCAAAAAAGGAAAATAGAACTCACACAATGGAAAAAATATTGGCAAAATTGTATATCTCATAAAGGACCTGTATCTAGAATGTATGTAAGGAACTTTTACAACACAAAAGACAACGCAATTTTAAAATAAGCAAAGGATTCAATTAGACGTTTTTCTGAAGAAGATATATAAATGGCCAATAGGCACATGAAAAGATGTATAACATCATTAATTATTAAGTAAATGTGAATCAAAACCACAGTGAGATAACACTTCACATTCTCAAAGATGAGTATAATTAAGAAGTCAGATGATACTAAATGATGTCAAGGAAATTGGAAGCAACATACACTGCTGGTGGTAATATAAAATGGTTTGGACAATTTGGAAAACAATCTGCAGTGTTTTCTTAAAGTTAAACAATAGAATTGCCATTAATTCAGCAGTCTACTCCTAGATACATGCCCAAGATAATTTTTTTAAAATATGCCCACAAAACAATTGTGTATATATATGTTTATAGCAGCATTATTTGTGTTAGCCAGAAGGAGGGAACAACCTAAATGCTCATCAATTGATGAATGGGTAAACAAAATGTGGTATATCCAAACAATGGAATATTATTTGGGCATCAAAGGGGAATGTAGTAATAATAGATGCTGTAACATGGATGAACCTTGAAAACATTCTGCTACATGTAAGAAGCCAGTCACAAATGACCACATATTATAATTCCATTTTTATGGCATTTCCAGAATAGGCAAACATATAGCAACAGAAAGTAGATCTGTGGTTGGTTAGGGTTGGAGCTGAGCAAGAGAGGTTAGAAGCTGGTAACCAAAGTGTACAGGGTTTCTTTCTGAGGTGGTAAATATTCTCAAGTTGATTGTGGTAATTGTTGTAAAACTCTGTGATTATACTAAAAAAATAAGACTTTAAATTGTACCCAATAAGTGGGTAAATTGTATGGTATGTAAATTATATCTCAATAAAGACATCACAAAACATAATGGTCAATGTTTAAAAATCATGAGAAGGATACCCTGGAAACTTAAAAACTAAAAATGATTTTAAAATTTAGGGTTAGTATCAGAATGTAGGAAAAATTATTTGTGGTTCAACAAAAAAATAAGAATTTGTTACTCACACTTGCTAGTTATTTAAACAGCTGACTTCATGTCTAGGAAGAAGGCAGGTAACACTTTTCAATTCTGAGGGGGAAAACTTGAAATAGAAATGTTACCTAAAACTTAAAAAAAAAAAAAACCCATAAAAGTGTTTTATTCAGAGTGCAATCCATAACCTTATTTTATTTTAATTTAATTTTAATTTTAATTTTTGTAGTGATGAGGCCTTGCCATTACCCAGGGTGGTCTCAAACTCCTGGCCTCAAGCCATCCTGCCACCTCAGTCTCCCAAAGTGTTGAGATTACAGGCAAGGGCACCACACTGTTCCTGTAACAGTATTTTAAACTTGAACATTCCCTCTCAGTTTCTGAGCATTTTTCTAAGTTTCTCAAGCTATTTTGTGACACATTCCAAATCAAGGTGTTTGGGCAACAATATAGATCAAGAATCGTAATCAGAAACATGGAAGCATAATTAGGAGAAAGTGGAATAATAGAAGCCAATAAAAAGCAGTTTTCCAAGAAGGAGGTCATAGTGAATATTCACTGTCACAGAGACACCTAGTACAGAGAGACCTAGTAAAATAAAGACTGAAACATATCTGTGTTCCAAATTTTTCAGAATAAAATAAATGGATAATAAATGTAGAAGGCAATTTTCAGTTAGTTGAGAAGTTATTTACTACATATTATTTATTGATAGTTATATTTATTTCATTTGTATAGTTCTATTTTAGTTTTTTAAAATTCAGGCTTTCATTTACTATTTTTGTATTTCCTAGATCGTTAAGGTTTATATTTAGCTGTATTAATTTCTTACTTTTTCACTTTTATTGTTCTTTCTTTAGTTTTCAGATTTATTTGTTTAGAATTATTTATTCTCATTTTTATATTGTTGGACATATTTAAGGTAATATTTGACTACTGCTTTAGTTATATCCTACAAATTTTGATTTCCAGGGAAATGTACAAACCGTTTTATTTTGCTTAAGTTTTAAATGTGTTGCACTATGATTAGAGAATATGACCTTTATTAATTTATTTGGAATTTAATTAGATTTTCTTTATGACCAAACATGTATGGAAAGTTTTTATGACTGTTTTATGTGTGCCTAAAAATAAGTATACTCTTTATTATTAGGGTACAGTGTTGATATAGATTCATAAAATATAAAGTATTGATTGTTAGAATCTTCTATATCTTTGACTAATATTTTGTTCACTTGAAATATTTTAGACTAAAAAATTTATTAAATTTTCTTCCTATTTCCTGTCTTATATAGTTTCTGCTTTATTAAATTTACCATTGCATTAATTTATTATAGATACTTATAACCGAATTGTGTCTCCTTTTGCAATGAAGGTTTTATAAAAGGTCCTTCTTTGATTAATTTATTGTTTGTGGAAGGATTTCACTTTATCAAGCCTGGTATCCTCAATTTTTATTTGTCGTTTAAATTGGTTGTACTTTTAAATGATGTACTTTTTTTTTTTAAGTACAGTTTTGGTATAGTAAACATAAATTAAAATTTATCTGTAAACCATAATTCTCAGCAAACTGACACAAGAACAGAAAGCCAAACACTGAATGTTCTCACTCATATGTGGGTGTTGAAAAATGAGAACACGTGGACTCAGGGAGAGGAGCATCACACACTGGGGGCATCTGGGGGCAGGTAGGGGAGAGACAGTAGTGGGTGGGGAGGGAGGGGAGGGTGGGGAGGGAAAACATGGGGAGAAATGCCAGGTATAGTATGCACCTAAAGTTAAATAAATAAATTAACAAAAAAATTTACCATCCTAATTATTTTTAAGTGCACAGTTTAGTGGCATTAAGTACATTCCCGTTACTGTGCAACCACAACCAGCATCCATCTCCAGAATTCTTTTTTTTTTCATTTATTTTATTGCA